GAGAGAGAGAGAGAGAGAGAGAGAGAGAGAGAGAGAGAGAGAGAGAGAGAGAGAGAGAGTTGACATTGAGACTTGGTGACATTCGGGCATTGACCAGTTCAGTGCCAATTTGACTTGACATTGTACGAGCAGCGACATTGGGGATACATTGGAGAGACTGGGTTCATCGGGCTATGGTGGCTGATGCCCCCTATCTCCCGCTTCCCCCTTCGTCTCTTCTCCCTCTTTCTGAGTGACGGTGTATGCTGTCAGGTTCTGTCCTTGTCCATGTTGAGTCAGATCTTGGTATTACTGTCTTCCGCTGTGCTATTTTTGTACTGTCTCTGAGAGGTTGGTGTTCTCGGTTCTGATTGTTGCCGATTAGGCATGCACAGCACGGCCTAACCAGCTGAGCTAGGCCGCTTCATTATCTACTGTTACCTGATCCTTTGTTTTCAATCCTCCCGGCGCCCCCCCCTTTGAAAGTTGAACGCAGGTAGCTCCTAGCATTACTGACATTTACTGTACCCCATCAAATGCCATCCGGATTCGAACTCATGGTTTGTTAATTAACAGTTACACCGCAACTTGAAACTTACACGTCTTTAGTAGTGTGTACCCTTCAGGCCCATGGTGGCCTGGGTAGTGCTCCTTGATCCCATGCTGACCGACTGTTCCGGCATGGATAAAAGCCCTGTAAGCTCAAGGTTCCCCATCCAGCTGACCCTCGGTGCTGGCAAACTCAAGGATTCTGCGCACGTGGATGGATTTCGCTGCAGAAGCCAAATCAACCCTGGGCGTTTACGCCTGATGATGTGGAGCTTGCATGGTCTCCAGAAGGGTCTGAAGCACTGCACCAGGAGTTCTTTTTGCTTTCGGCATTCGTGCACGCAGTCCACATATCCACTTTGGCATCCATCCACCTGTCCACATAATCCACTTCTGCATCGACTTCTGCTTCCATCCATATATCCACCTGCCCACACACTCTCGCTCATCAAGCCATCTTCCCATCCATCCATCCACCCACCCCGTACACCCGTCCATAGAGCCGCCTAGCCATTTCATCCATCCATCCATCCATCCATCCGTCCATCCATCCATCCATCCATCCATCCATCCATCCATCCATCCATCCATCCATCCATCCATCCATCCATCCGTCCGTCTGTCCACCCACACACCCACCCATCCATCCATCCATCCACCCATCCATCCATCCGTCCATCCATCCGTCCATCCATCCGTCCATCCATCCGTTTGTCCGTCCGTCCATCCGTCTGTCAGTCCGTCCATTCGTTTGTCCGTCCGTCCATCCACCCACTCACCCAACATGGCAGGACTGCATCCTAGGGCGGATGTTGGTTGTAATCTCAGCTCCTTTTTTTTTCAAGGTGAAGATACCAAATCTAGACGTATATAGCAGTGCTTTGTCGTTCTGATTCATCTGCATTTTTTGTTTCCTATTTTTTTACTCTCACTGGAGCCCTGATTTGACAAAGCTGTGCTGTCCAGCTGTGAATCGTCCTGGATGATTGAGGCTGAATCACATTTGCTACGTACCATTTTGCTTCGTGATTTCTTGTTTGTTGTTTTGTTTGACTTGTCCTGTACTTGGGCATTGCACGTTTCGACGCACAATTGGGGGGGCGTTCACGTAAGTGTACGCGAGATAGATGCTGACTAGTAACTACCTGTACCCCCAGGCTCAAGGCCATCAGCAGGCAACAGGTGAGCATTTACTTGGCTTCCCTGTGTTGTGAAATGCTCCTGCCAGTATGCATGCATATGGACGTGATGCTGACTACATGCGGCATCTAACCATATGCATGCAGCAGAAGTGCCTGGCGAGCCTGGCAAGTGACCCTTTCTTTGGCTTTCTCGGGAAGAGTCGTTGCTGCTGACTATCCTTTTGTTGGAATGTGGGATGACGCACACGTCACAGCGTTTTGCGGAGAGGCAGGCTGACAATCTGATCCCCGAAGATCTGGTGGAGATGCAAGTGAACCCTGCAATGTGGGAAATCAGTGGGCATATTGTCCTCAAACGACGAGAAGATTACGAGAATATCACGGAAGCTAAGATATGGAGGTTGCTTGCTGAGGTCTCCGTGGATGAGGAGCAGTTTGAAGAAGTGAAAGCCATCTGTCTTGAGGTGAGATATTGTGAAGAAGAAGAAAATGCAACAGTAGCAACATGGAGATGGGCAAGGAGGAGAGGGAGGGAGAGAGGAACAAAGGGGCAGTAGCAACAACATGGAGGGAGATATTGTGAAGAATGCAAAAATTAGGAACATGGAGGTGTCCCTCTCTCTCCATCTGTCTTGAGGTGAGATATTGTGAAAAATGCAAATGTGGAGAAGGGAGAGAGGGATGGAGGGGAGAGAGGAACGAAGGGGCAGAGGGAGGAAGGGAAGAATCATGACTGCCCTTCATCTGTCTTGAAGTTATGTCTGGGGAAAAAACTGCATCAACGGAAGGGTAGCTCACACCAATGAACTGTTGAGATACAGACCCAAGTTCGAATCCAGACGAAACCAAAAACAAACTGCAACAACAGAAAGGTAGAGGTAGAAGGGGGGCGTGCGTTTTTTTTTTTTTATGAAAAAAAAAAAAAAAAAAAAAAAGAGGAAGGTGGGAAGGGATTGGAATTGTCAGATTTTCAGACAGGGACTTTGGGTTATTGTCAGATTTTCTGATGCACGCCTACCCTACCGTCTTCCCCCGAATAGAACGCCCAGTCATTATGGCTGTATTTGGGCCAGCTTTCGGTCTATATACATACAGCTATGACTACCTGGCGTTTTATTCAGGCGAAGACGGTAGGTAGAGTAAGTACAGTGTGCCATGGGCCTGAAGCTGCTGAGAGCCTTTCATTCGCTTTTCTAATCTGAAAGTTATCTCATTATTTAATAATGTTTTTAACTTTTTAACCTTTTCTTTAATGATTTATCCACATTTATCAACTTTTATATATGTCACAGCCCCTCATTTGTTGTCCTCTTCTCCCTCTCTGCCTACGGTTTACCGGGCAGTTCTATTTGACGATATATATATATATATATCGTCATATATATATATGTCCTCTTCTCTCTCTCTGCCTACGTTTTACCGGGCAGTTCTGTTTGTGACGATATATATATATGACGATATATATATAACTCCGACGAAACAGTTTGTCACAGCCCCTCGTTTGTTGTCCTCTTCTCTCTCTCTGCCTACGGTTTACCGTCGGCAGTTCTATTTGTGACGATATATATATCAATATTGAATTAAGTCGTTTGGCAGATACTTTGCGGGTTATATAACTAGCATGCATTCTTGCTCCCGAAACTCTTTCATAAAATTTTCTAACGATTTTTCTCATTCTTCAAAAGCCCAAAGAAAATGGGTTAATGCTCCTCGAGTCTTCTTCTCTTATAAGAGGGAATCAAGATCAGTGATGTGTGGCATGATGCTGATGCTGATGCTGATGCTGTTATTGTCATTGTTGTTATTGTTACTGTTACTGTTGCCGTTGTTGTTACTGTTACTGTTGCCATTGTTGTAACTGTTACTCTTGCCGTTGTTGGTGTTGTTGTTACTGTTACTGTTGCCGTTGTTGTTGTTGTTGTTGTTCGCTGTTCGCTGTTCGCTGTTCTCCTTGCTGACCGACGAATGTGTTGCTGTGTGTTGTGGAAATGCAGGAGCTCGAGTCTCTTCTATAGGAGGAAATCAAGAGCACTGATCTGTGCCGGGATATGCCGATGCTCTTGTCCAAGAGTTGAAAGAGCTGCAGCGATCGATTGTGCGCCGCACGGGAAGCAATGTTGAATCACGCCCTGCATATCAATCATCAGCATCCACGCAGTGAGGCAGCATTGAAAACTGCAGATACCGTGCATCTGATGGAAGAAAGAAATGGGCCACGCCTGTGTGTTTAAACCACCAGTACCTTTTTCCCCGCTTGAAATCTTAAGACGCGCCCGCGGGTAACGCGGTAGCCAAGCGGGGGATGGCCACCGTTGATAAATCCAATCGGCGGCCCTCTTTTCCTTTCAGGCCTCCGACGCTTCCCGCGGCCGACATATGGCATACAAAGGTAATTACTGGTGGTTTAAGCTGACCAGCGCATGGAGTGACGGTGAGATATTCAACTGTATTCAAACTGAAATCGTGACTGCGTTCAGGATGGTTGGTTTTCCACCAGGTTTAAAACTGAAATCGTGACTGCGGCCTAGTTACCCCTCCAGGGGAGAACTTGTGCCGTGTCACTGTTTCAGTTTGAAAATGCGTTTCAGTCACGATTTCGTGAATGTTCTGTCAAACGATGGAAAATCGTGAATGTATACAACCCAGCTTTAGGGTCGGGTGGGGATGTGTTGTATTTGAGGGATGCCCTGAGCTGGGTTAAAAAAAAAAAAAAAAAAACTTTTTTGCGACTCCAGCCTAGTTACCCCAAAATCCGGACTCCCAGGTCGCTGGGCGTAGTTCAAATGGTAGAACCGTAGACCGCATGTTTTGTTGCAAGTATGAAGTCCAGCTTGGAATAACCGACGCCGCTGTTTTTAAGTGTTTTATGATTATAAAAAAAAACACGGCTGACCTTAGGATATCGGGTTGAAGCTTCGTTGACAGGTCACATTTTGGTCTTTGGAACGTTTGACTGCTTTTGGAAAAGTTCGCTGTGACCGGAGTAGGACTGCGCCGAGAAGAAATTACGAGAGCGGTAGGTTGGGAGGAGGTAGTCCCGTCGGATTAGGGACCTCTCTACCACATGGCCGATTGCCGAAGGTGACTCTCACCTGTCTATAATCCAAGCCTCTACAACAACCTGGACTTTTTTGAAAAAAAAAAAAAAAAAAAAAAAAAAAAAGGGAGTTCACTGACGGGATGAATAATTCAATTCCAAGTGTTTGCTGCCGTACTGTAACTTTGCACGTTGAATCGAGAACTGAGGTACTGCTGCATATTTCATGAAATCCGTGGAGGACATGGAGATCACAGTAGCTTTATCACTCTGCTCTGAAAAATCCTCACTGACCAAACTCAGTCTAGCCAGGTAATGGCCCTGGTATCTTATGTCCCAAAATTCCATCCTTAGGCCAATTAGATTTTCTAGTAGTTCCTTGTCTTCTAGTAGTTCCTTGTCTCATTCTCATGAAATTTTCTGATGAAGCTTTCTGAACGTACTTGTTATGGGACGCTGGGCCCGGTTCCCAGTTTCTGCCAATTTGGGAGGATATGGTTGTATCTATGGGACGCTGGACCCGGTTTCCACCAGGTGCTGCTCCCCACCAATAGATGGAGCGTGTTTCAAAAAAAAAAAAAAAAAAAAAAAAAAAGAGTCTGGTTGTTTAAGTTTAAACCACCAGTACTTTTTAAAGTCGTGCCCGTTAACAGAGCCATGATGATTTTAGGAAACGAACTGGTCACTACAGGAGCGCCCAAATTCATTCGACTAGAAACGTTTCTACTCTATTTTTTGTTCCCACGGCCGATAGCTGGGCCATGTACTGGTGGTTTTAATGTCCCTGATGTAACGTCAGGACGAGTGGCGAATGAGTAGAAGGGTTGAGAGTCTTGAGACTCGAAAGCCTTGGCGGTGTGAAGTAGAGGTGTTGACGGGGGAGGGAAGTTGTTTTTTGACATGATATTGAAACGCGTGACATATTCTTCTTTTCATTGGTTGAGTGACTTGAGTCCCTTTATTTCTCGGAGAATATATCTTGTGTTGGTCGTAGCATGGACGGAATCTCTCTCATGTTCGCCGCCCAAATGGAAATACCTTGGTGAGTACTGGAAGATTCTGTACTGCAACTTCATGAGACTTCATGAGACTTCATGGAGGTTTCATGGAGGTTTCATGGAGGTTTCATGGAGATGTGCGTGGGGGTCGCAAATGGGACTTGATGGTGATGATGTCTCCATGAGTTGCCTGAAGCCAATTTGATGGATACGAGGGTGGTATGGAGCTTTTCACCGAGGTTTCATGGAAATTTCACGAGAATGTCAAAGGATGTAAATGGAATATCAGAGGCTTGATCGAGAGTTTCGTAATCTCACTCACTTTGTCAAGGCCTTCACAGCTTTCGTTATGGCCCGCTGCTTTCTCAGCCGATCGCTTGGCTTATGTACGTTGCTTCTCTGGGAAGAGCAGGAGTTGAAGACGTGTATTAAAAAAAAAAAAAAAAAAAAAAGGATTGTTGATCTAGGCTACTTCGGCTGCCCAGCCATGCAGACCTGGGTGGGCATCGGGGCAAGTCGCCGGGGGGGTCTGTTGCCCAGGGTACTCGGGTGTGGGAATAAGTGGGTTCATTTTTCTGGGTTCATTTTTCTTTTTTCTCCGGGAAGAGCAGGAGTAGTTTCGGATTGCTGATCGAGGCTACTTGGGCTGCCCGGCGATCCAGACCAGGGTGGGCATCCAGGCAAGTCATCTGGGGGGTCTGTTGCCCAGGGTAAAAGGTTCTAAAGGGGGGTGCCTAAGTCTGATTCTGTTTTTTTTTGTTTTTGTTTTGTTTTTTTTTCCCTTCGATTCAGTAAGGATTTTTTTTTTTTTTTTTTTAATTTTAAAACAACAAAGCAGATATCATATAACCGGGAAACGGGCCCGGCGTCCCTTACATCATTTGCTGCGCCCAAACGGGCTAAGCAAGGCACTCTCAGCCAAACCTATCCCTACCGCAGCCCCACAAGGTCATGACAACCAATCCCAATCCCAACCCTGAAACAAAAATCGCGTTCCCTAATTTAAGAAACCGAAATCCTAATTTAAGAAACCGAAATCCTAATCCACCCCTTCTCCTAACCTCCATTATTAAGCAAGCAACCCTAATGATCCTAATCAGACTAATCTAATCTAGCTAAATCCAAGCCACGTAACAAATATCCCCAACCAAAATCACAAAAAAAACACAAGATTGTCAAAAAATGATCTAATCCTAATTACTCACGGACAGAATCCCAAACCTCCTGATGAGTTGGTGAAAGTCCAACGAAACAGTCTGGCACACACACAGAAAAAAGAAAAAAAACTGACAAGAATCTGTGTTGTTGTTGTTGTTGTTGTTGTTGTTGTTGTTGTTGTTGTTGTTTTTGTGTGTGTGTGTGTGTGTGCTTAGTCATGTCGGGTCATGCTTTCTTTTTGTGAGGTGTCTTGTACACCCAACATGACTAAGCACACACACACACACACACACACACAAAAAAAAAAAAAAAAAAAAAAAAAAACACAGGTTCTTGTCAGGGTTTTGGACCGTTTGTCTCGTGGGATTGCAGGGTTGGTGTGAGTAGAGTCTACCACGTTTTTCAAGTCTGGCATGAACGGATGGATGTGGCCCGTAAGATTGTGGAGATCAACGACCCACATCGGGCCGTTTTTCTTTTCCAGATATTGGGTCTTCGAGAGGCCAAACCTCGCTGTCGGCCATTTGGCCGTGCCCTACAGACACCGCCTCCCCCCCCTTCCTCTTCTCTAGCGGGCTTCCAGGTTGCTCCGGTCTGTTGGTTGGGAGCTGCACCTGCTGGAAACCGGGTCACACAAACTCGAGTCAATATACAACCTGGTTTAGTCTCAGACATGGGGGGGGCTGAACCATAAAAGTAGGAAATCCCAACTACCCAAGTTCAATTAAAATAGGTTAGCTTCTAATCTCAGCCATGGACAGTAGCTTAACTTAACCCTGAGAGGGTTTAGGGTTTATCAGGAACTACTTTAAAGGCCAAGTCAGCAGTTCTGGCACATAAACCACGAGTAGATGGGCCGAGTCTTGCAGTCCGAAACTTGTCGCCACAAGAAAGCGAGGGCGAAATGTCAAACGCTGGGCCCTGCGGTCGATAAATTGGATCGGCGGTCGAGTCTTCGTTTCGTGCTTCGAGAATCTGAGGTGCCAGGCCCGCGGCGGGCCCAGGTGCCCGTGTACTGGTGCTTTGAGGAGAATCTGACAGTCAAAGAACTGAGAGGAACAGGCTAGATGAATGCGGAATTATAAAAAAAAAAAAAAAAAAAAAAAAAAAAAAAAAA